AATATTTGCGCTTGTGTGTATATGTGTCTAATATTTAAGACGGCTTAATAATCAAGTCAACAGTAGTAGTCGTTACTACCAAATGGTGGTGTTCGTGTCAATAAAGACCGAAAAAAAGTGTGCTCTGTGCACACTACTCCATTGTACACCGAGAAAGCATCAAATACATTAATGAAGAACTAGAATGAATACTAGGTATATAATGCTGCCGCAGCAGTTCGTTCGCATACCAATGTCGTGATTACACGAGCCAGTCTCAGCAACACAATCGGAAGTCCGACTTGGCCGCTTGGTGCTACATACTGGAGGACGTGTGACGATGTCAGTTGCATTACCGGGGCTCACCCACCGGCATCGTCGCTGCCGGCAGGGTCGCCATGGTACATTTCCGGTGTGTCGATCTCCACGCCATCGTAACCGTAAAACTGCCTCTGGGCATCCGTGACGTTCTCCGTGGGCTCCACTTTCGGTCGCGTTGGTTTTGTCGGCAGTTCGGTGAATTCGACGTTTCGTTCTAACGTGAACAAAACCAGCGCCAATGTGCCGGCGAGGTTCAGGAGTACGATGGCCACTACCAGCAGTGGGTTGACTCCCCGAAAAGCCTGCGATAACTAGAACAAAAAGAAAGAAGTTTATACTAGTCATGTAAAGCTAGGGAAACTGTTACGCTGGCTGCCCTTATTTACTTGTTTATTTACCTATTTATTTATGTACAGCTACCACAATCTTTGCAGGATGGGTATACATAAAAACACACAAGTATTTAAGCCCATAAAGCAAGTACAAATTCATAGCGATTACATGCATTATTTAAAAATTTGTGAATAATTGTTTCAACACTGCTGTTGAGCGCATGGAATATACAAAAACAAACGCCTGACATTTTCAAGTGTTTTTCGAACAATGTTAACGTCTTCTGGGCTCAAATTTCGGTATTAAGCTTAATCTAGTGTATTGCTGCCTGGGAAACAAAATATATAAAGCAGTTATTTCTTGTGTCCATAAGACTCACGGTGAAAACACGTCTCTGTCTTGTTCAAACACTGGATGAGTCAATAAAAAATAGAAATTTTTGAACTTAACAACGGCCGCTTACAAGCTCATTAAAAACATCAATCGACATACACGGTTACGCACGCTAGAGCTTTAACGCGGCCTCCATGACCCCGTTAAGCCCCTAGCGTCTTTGCTTGGCGTACACAGAGTCTTTGTTAAGTGTTTGCGTAGCGTACACAGAGTATAGTCAAACCACAGCCTGTCACAGACCGTGCAAGAATGTTCAAACTTTAGCGCCTCCAACTAACGTGCAAACCTGGTGATATCACCTCTCGTTGAATCGTGGACCTTTCACTGCTGGTACTCGTGTCTTATTCCACGCGAGGTTAACTCGGCGCGACCACTGCGCGGCCTGTCCGTCTGTGAGCATGGCCTGGCGGCTGCTGCTACTCAGCGCATGCGCGGATAGGCGAGGTTAGGCCCAGGTGGTGCGCAGCTGTGGTTCGGCTATGTATAAGCAATGGGCCGGAGGGTTTTCGCGGACACCCTACGTTCTAACAGTGGCTTTAAAAGCTTCGCTCCAAATACAGTAGGATTAGATACCGTACTTCAAAAGTAGAACGCCGTATTTATAATGCCGTGTAGCGCCAAGTGGCGCTGGTTGCCTGACAATATTGGTAAATTCTTAACAGCTCTGACAAACCCGGACAAACAACAAAAAAAAAAGATGACGAGAAATGTGCATATTCATATGCGATTGGCTAATGTGAGACTCCGCTTTTGATTGAAATTGATTCTGTACTGTGATAGGAACCATTGCAATGAGGATCTATTGGAGGCATACACGGTAAATATCACACGTGCTTGCATAAGCGAATCTTCGGCGATGCTCACTCTACGCGAGCGGTGACTTCTAAGTAGAAATTTGTGAAGACAGCGTAACGTTGCCTTCAGCTACTATTGAGCTCGATTTATGTAGTCGTTATAAAGCTTGCATGATGCCTTTAATCCATTGTGAAGACAGTTCAGTCTGCACATGTGCAGTCGTCTCTATTTGATTGTACGTGTTTCTAAGCGCAGTTAAAAAGCGTTTACAATGAATCTGCACGAGTCAGCGACTCTCAACCGCGGCCAGAGCCAGACTCTGGTTTCCAAATATACTCAGTGATGGCCTGTAGATATTTAGGTCACTGACAGGCCGTTGTACTACACAGTGAAACTGGCAAGCAAGTCTAGAGTGTGAATGGGGCCTCAAGACACTGTATCCCCTAGGAGCCTGACACCCGTCTATTCTCTTGCTCTACAGGTACCAACAATCACAGATGCGCAAACATAATCCCGAAACATCACTAAAAGTCTGAGAACATCTCAAGGGAAATGCACAAGAAACGCAGCGCCGTTATTTCTGCATAGTTCATACCATAGTAAAGTGTCTGACGGAGTACAGTTTGGTAGGGAACAAACACCGTGAAACAAAAAAAAAACATTAAACAAAATATAAGAATTTTTCATACATTTCTGCATGGAGGGTGTGCTCATATATACCAATGGAAAACAACGCTCCTGTTCGGAAGCCGAAACCCGTTTTTGAAAATTTTCTGGATTTTAACTCATTCGCAATTTTTTAATACACGATCTTTCATAGGTTTAGGACCCAGACAATTTCTTTTCTTTGTTTCATGACAGTAATCGTAAACAAACGCTTAGATGTTTTGAGTTTCCTGGAGATGGGGAGCCGTGTATGACTTACTCGTTCCGCGGAGACTGGGCGGAAGATCTCCTCTACCTCGTCTTCGTCTTCTTCGTATACATTGGCCGGAGGAACGAATGATGGCGGAACGGCCGCTGGAGAAACATCCTCCGGTGCAAAGTACGGGCGATGGGGGCCGGCATAGACGTCCTCCATATTTGTCTTCCTCTTCTTCTTCTTGGAAAATCCATGGCGTTACTGATGCTGATTTCTTTCCACGCGGCTCATACCAATGATGAATAGAATTTACTCAACAGTGCTTCCCTATCGCAAAAAAACGAACATTCTATGGAGGTACAGACGGGAGCGAAAGTTTAGTAACGAATCAGTATACAATAAATTAACTTCAGCCTAAATATCTGTGTCAAAACTACTTGACCTCACTCCAGTACTGGTTTTGGAACACTGCATTTCATTAAAATGATTGTGTTCGACCGTTTTCGACAATTAGTGAGATCTCACTAGAAACTTTGGTTTAATCAGTTGGTGCTTGCTTCATGAAATGAGAGGAGGCATTTTTGTTCCCTTTCGCCGGGTGTTTTCTTTAGTGTATAGCGTCTTCTGTAGCCATGATGGCTGCTATCAGCCAAAACGTTTTTTTTTGTGACCGAGTACCTACTGTTGTTGAAATTAAGTGACCCAGCGCACTTGTTTGATTAGTGCGTTACGGTAGATCACTGGTTCTCAATGTAGTGTACTTAGAAAAAATTTCTCAGATATTGTGGTGTCGTTGTCTGTAAGCTTTTGTTCTCTGCGGTACCTTTTGAAAATGTTAGTACTGATATAAGTAGGCATGCCATTTTTTCTAGGTGCGGCTTCTACGCTAACATTCATCTGCTGAGATGGCCCAGTATAGTTATGGCGCTTGGCTTGCTTGGAAGTCGATGGTTTAGTACCCGGGTGCAGTGGTCACACTTCGTGGAAGCGAAATGCTAAGTTTGCTACTCTTAAGTTGAACAGCACGTTCACGAACCCATATGGCAAAAATTCCAGGGTTCATCCAGTAGGGTGTAACTCAGAATCCCATTGTGGTTCTTGGTCGTGAAAACGCAGAAGCTGTTGCATTACGCTAAAATACACTTCTACAGACAGATCCTCCCTTCTCCTATATTTATTGATTTCGCCACTAAGATACTGTGAAAGTTTAGAGATTTGGAGTGATTTTTCTTGCTCGTGTTGTGCTTATAATCCCGTTCTGCGATTGTACTGTGGATGAGATAATGGAGCGTCTTGTGCCTAAAATCTTTATCACATTGACAATATGAACTCTGCAATACCAATCAGCAAAATTGAGTCAGTTTCTAAGAGCAATAAATGAACTCTGACATTTTGAGTGTCAATCAATTACCCTTTCATAATATCGGAAGCCTAATTAGATCAACTAGAGGACGTTTGGGTAAGACAAGTAATTTACTTTAGCTCCCTGTTCTGGGCTGTAGATAACAGCAAATGTTTTACGGAGTTAGAACCATCAAAAATGATACCTGCTAGCGCTGTATGGAACCACCTACTTTGTTTTCTACATGACGTACAGCTCAAACAAACAGGTATGGTCCTGCAGCTGTCTGTCCGCTTAGTTTGTGTGACAGGTTGCGTGCGCAGTAAGAGTAGTATTTTATGAAACCCTTCTGTGATATATTTGAACATTTGAATAATTTTTCACTTTACAATTGGAATCAGCCTAGGGATCTTCAGCATTTTCGCTCGACTGAGTTGTTCGGGATGCCTGTTTACAAATGCTGATGTGAATGAGACTTAAATTCTGTATTATTTGATTAAAAATAATTCAGAATAAATATCATAAAACCTGATTGTATATTTAAAGACTCCCATAAATTTAGCACACCCCTATCCGCCAATGAGATTTATGCTCGCATTCAGTGCGTGCAATTCATGAATCTGCGTCTTCACTGCGGCAGCTCAGCTGCTATACAAACAAATATTGGCCGTAAATCACCCTTCGGCTAACCCCTAATAAAATTATAGTCCCGAATCACGACTGGGGCTTTGCTCGCCGAGAACATCCTTCTGACGACAAGATTTTCAGTCTTCTGAGAATATAAAAGCTCCACTACGTTTCTCCGAGTAAAAAGTGTTGAGCTTTATTTACCACAGGCCAAAGTGGTTAGAGTCATAATAGAAACTGTTAAATAACTTCGTCGCTATTGTGATAACACTCTAGTCTTCTCATTGGAGCGGAAAAAGCGGGACGTTAGAAGAGCCGTACGTTCTGCACTGCGGGTGTGAAGAGTACTTTCTTGCCTGTGCAGGACGATCCGGTGATCATAAAGGCCGGTCAAGTCCCGGGTGGCGTCGCCATTGCACATCGGCCTGGCGCCACCTGCCTCTGCCTAAATAAGTGCAGAGACGAGCACTCAATTTTTGTATAGGACGCGCCGAAGACGGCCGTCCACAATAGCATTTCAAGAACAGATTTGAAATGGAAGCGGTGATCACAATATATTCTATTCGATGAATAAAGGTTTCCGTGCCGCCATAATGGGCTTTTGCCAAGTCGTCACTTTGTTTCATGAGTTGCTACTCACGAAAACGGTTGAGCTCGTGGACTTGACGTTTCATGCATGGTCGAATTAACTGCTGTCGCAATTCTATAAACAAAAACTTCGAGGCCAGCACTTGGCCGTGCAAGGATTAAAACAGATAAATTACACAACATTGAAGACAAATACGGTTGCTTCAGTATTGGTTCTCTGCCTTAGCTAACTGATGAGGGTAGCGTCCAGGATGGTTTCTAGATTGTTAGCAGACGTTTGGTGGGTGGTGGTAAGTTGATTATAGGTTGATTCTCAGCGCTAAGAGGTTCGAGTCAAACCACGTACAGTCACTTGCACGACACGGACGTCCGAATTTCAGAGACAGAAACTAGCAGTGAAGGCAAGCCTTTGCAGCTCTCATAGATTCACTGTGACGTCATGATTGGCACGAGCCTTCCAACGCTTCGAAGTATTCTTCCAGCTGCTACTGCATTTGCCGTTCCCTTTAGTATTCTCTCGTTCTACGCTCTGAGCGTTTTCGGCTCTCGACCATTACTTAAAAGCCAGTTAGTTGGCGAATTGTTGTTGTTTTAATTATTTAGTGAAAAAGTGATAGGCAGGGTAGTTTGCAAAGTTTCTGTAGCATATAATCGTTTATGATGCTAATAGTTTCCTGGTAGGCCTCCCAAATTACGGTATGCTTACACAGTATCTTTGCTTACGCAGTATCTTAGATTATTATTGGAAGAAGATTTGCATAAGAGTCCAAGTTCGCGACGCCCCCATGCGTTACATTAACTTGTGTGTAAGGCCAGATTATAACAGTGATGAATTTTAGGATAGGGTCAGCATGTCAGAACAACTTATGGAGTACCTTTAGAGAGTATGAGCTGTGCTGTAAATATTTAGTTTTGGCTAAATGTGCTGTGACATTTTACATGACGCCATTTTACAATACACCCGCTTTAAGTGTGTTATCGTCATCGTTATTTATAGAGGTAAAAGAGGAAGTCGAAGAATACAAGCATGCAATCTTCCTGAGTGGGTATGAGCCATAATTTCAAGTAAACTAACAAACAACGTCGAAGAATCAATCGAACGCTGTTGCTTATTGTGTGCTCACTTCGGTGTACCTAATTAAAAAAAAACGTTCTCCGCGGAAAAATATTGAAGCCTAATTGCAATTTTTGTATTAAGGGCGTTTCATATCTGGGACTTTTCTAATCAGGAGATCGTCATCAAGTCATCTTCTCCACTTTTGTCTTTTATTTTTTTTATTTATTTAGATACCTACAGCGCCCAACTGGGCATTATTGTAGGGGGGGAAACAAACAGGAAAAGATACAGGTAGTATATACAACATGAAAAGCAACAAACATTATGTAGGAATAAAGATAACTTTGGAAAGTTTGAACTTCACTCGAGATGCTCTTCACAATACATTCATGGGTCACCATATTTAATGAAGATATTTATATTTAATTTTACACTCAATTGTCGTAGTATTTATATTTGTCGACCTCTGTTGAATAACCACTTCTTCATCAAACATTCATGTGGGTGTGAGCCATATTCGTAGGCCTTCAGCTTCAGTGATTGCGGCTGCTGTCAAACGATCGCCAGAGGAGTTGACAGTGACAAGTTCATTCGATTCTACTTACGAATATCATGTCGATCGTAAGAAACGTCCGTTATGCGGCAGCTGTCGTTTGCAATCGAGATCAGTTTGGGCAGCGACCGTTAGCACAGACGCGGCGGGACTACATCAACTAGCGCGGACGCTGTAGCGGTCTTTGTGATTGTTCATATGCGGCCCCCTAACGTGCAACCACCGACAGAGCCATTTCCTGAGCCGGCGAAAGGTAAAGTCTAAGGCACGAAATGCAAATCATAAGAGGTACGAGCATGGTGCTATAGACAATGAACGAGAACAGACACAAGTCAGAGTTGTATCTTGTGTTCTAACAGTTCTTACAACACGCATGTTGCCACTTTTTGCACTTGTTCTTTTATCTGCCGCGGATGATGTAGCGGTCACGGTGCACGGCTTCTGACGCGTAAGTCGCGAGGTTCCATCCCAGCACCCACAGTGGCATTTCGATTGAGGTTAGGTGGTAGAGGCCCGAGTTCTGTGTGCCATCGGTGTACGTTAAAGAACACTAGAATGTCACAATTTACGGAGACTCTCCTTACGGCGTCTCGCGTAATCACATCGTGGGTTTGAGATGTTCAGGCCCAGATGGTATTATTTTTGTTGCCCTGAATTCGGCCTTAGCGAAAGAGAACACACTCAGAGAAATAAACTTCATACCATAGGTCAAGGTGTTCACGGTCGAATGTGACCTCGTTCAATGCAGACGCTTTGTTGTGCCAAGGACATGTTGACCAGCTCTATAGCTAGGCTTCATGACTTAGTCTTGTCGTCTGTGCCAAACATAAACCTTCTGGGTGGGCTACACTTAAACTGTGACTGCAGTGCATGGGAAGATAACATACGCATCGACGGAAACAGCCTGTCTGTCTTTACATGTAGTGCATGTAACGACAATGTGTTCTACATTTCGCCTGGTTACAGTCTGAAGACCTGCTTTGCATTTGAAATAGAACAACTAACTCTTGCTTAAGGCTTGTTTATGTCGGCGTGTAAAGGCGCATGGTTTATGTGTTTTTGTTACATCCACTCACGTCATAGTAGAGGAGCATCCGTCAACTAAGAAACTTTTCAGTCCCTTGCATTTGATTCGGGATGCAAGATAGAAGCGAACACAATTTTCGGAGGTAAACTAATATCAGGTGGAGCATGGTCGTAGACCTTTAGCTCTCAGCTACTCGTCCAACCTGATCTTGTCTAGCCAGAACTCGGCATCCAGCCTTACACTGCTCCAGCATGTGTTAATGCCGTATGCCTGTCTCATTTCTCGAGGCTGCTCTGAGCAGGCACTATCAACATGCTATAGCGTAAGCGTCCCTCCACAAGAAGGCTAAGGAGCATCATTAGCTCCTTGTGCATTGTTGTGATCTTTTTAAAACTGCTCAAATCTGAACTTGAGCCAACTAACGCAATCTCTTATCCTTCCACACACGCTATATCATTTGGGCAGGTGAATTTCACTGTAAAGAATGTGCTTCCGCGAAGCCAAGCTTGTCTATCGAGGCTTCTGTCATTGTTGCATCCTTTCACGCTCACTCAAAACGTGAATAATATTTCAACAAAGCGCTTGATCGACTGGTTGGTGCAGCATGGTAGACGAAGAGAAGTGCTTAACAGCGCAAGCGACAGAAGGGTATAAAAGAGACGAGAACAGAGCGCAGTATGTTTCACACATGATGATTTTTGTCTATGTATGTTCCACAGCTTATTCCATGTATGTTCCGCAGTGGTACGACAGTAAGAGGGCTACAAAACGCCTGAAAGCTTGGTGACTTATCAGCTGTTCATTACGATAGTGTATTATGGTGCTGTTGCGTTATTTCAATAGCGAGGGTGCGTTGACAGTGTTGCCTGTTGCAATGTGAGAGCTGCAGTACTCTAATAGATAGCAACACATCAAGTATGCTTATTAGATTGAAACGCAGTACCGAAGTGCACGCAGAACGCGCAGTAGCTCATGGGCTCAATATAATATTTTAAGAAGCAATTTTTATTTTCGGTTTGTATTTTTCTTCGTAGCAATATGTTACAGTGATATATACAAAGAAGGGTCGCGAAGTCAGAGAGTGTGCTGGGGCACTTTAATATTAGCAACAAAATACCAATGTAAACAATACAGAGCAGTACCTAAAATCATACAAGTAAAAAAAAAAACTACGTGAGGACAGATAGAATGCGAAACGAAGAATAAAGAACAGTCGTTATTAACTCAAGGAACACTCGTTCTGTTTGTGTCTTGTGTATGTGCGCTGCTGCACATGTAAACACGAACTATCCCCAGTTTGTCTACCTTTCAACGTTACTGAAGTTGATTGATTGATTCATTGATTGATTGATTGATAAGTGGGGTTTAACGTCCCAAAACGACCATATGATTACGAGAGACGCCGAAGTGGAGGGCTCCGGAAAAGTCGACCACCTTGGGCTCTTTAACGTGCACCCAAATCTGAGTGCACGGGCCTATAACATTTCCGCCTTCATCGGAAATGCAGCCACCGCAGAAGGGATTCAATCCCGCGACCTGCGGGTCAGCAGCCGAGTACCTTAGCCACTAGACCACCGCGGAGGGTCCGTTACTGTGGTTATAGAAGGATGACAGACTGTGCGAGCTGGTATATATGTGTGGTACTTGAACAGTGCGAGAAAAGAGACCAAAAAAGAGAATACACACGCCATGCTGAAATCGTCAAGGAGTGTTTTCGAAGAAAGCTATTGCTGTTTTTTTTGAAGTTAGATAACAAGTACATGCGAATGCCTATTGTCAAAAAAAAAAACACCTATGAGTAGATAAAAGCTTCACAAACTTCCGTCATTTTTCTTGATTAAGCAGGTCCATCTCCCTTATTAGGCGATGCTACAGAAGGCCGACTAACACAGTTGGTTTTTTTTTCTCGAGATGCGACGGGCCTCTGCCACTTATATATTTCAGAATTTATCTATTTCAGAAATTGTGTGCAACTGCATTCAGCGCAGTGGAATAGCTATCTTCTATTTCATATTGACTTGTGGTAAAGCACTTATCTGCTGCTTTTCCTCACCTACGCAGTTGCGAACGCGGGCCATTGTGGCGTCGCTGGAGCAGAGCCCGAGAGGCGTAATATCTGCGGCCTTTCACCGGGCACGTACGCAATGATCTCAACACTCCTTGTAGTCTTGGCTGCGGTCTTCGCGCACGCCCTTACAGTGTCCACCTTGCGACGGCATTCTCTGAGCCAGGCCAAGTGGGCCGTCCAATTGGCGAACGACTCGGCACCTGTCTTCACATTTA